TTTTACGATTTTTTAAAGTTACTTCAACCAAAAATACTATAAGTAGTACAGTGTATTAATTTCACCAATATGGCCATGAGAGAATTCTCAATTATATATATTTTTTTATAATGGATGTTTACAACAGGACCTGTTCTTTATTTTGAATCTCTTTTCTTTTAGTTAATCGTCTTACAACTGAGATTATACCTTTTGGCATACCTCCCAGCCCTCGTAGAAGGTGTGGCTATTGTATTACTAACAACGAGCTCATACTCTGTGGCGGAACAAGGTAGAGAGACGAGATTTTTATTCCTTTAATTCTCGCACTCTCTCTTTAGTCCAACTGAGAGGGTTTATGATGGAAAGAAACACTTGATACTTCATGATCATTCTGACACATTTGTATTGTCCTTATGTGAGTTTTGACTAAGATAGAATGCACCACTCTATCTCTTTCTATTGTAGTACCAACGCTACAGCAGTTGTGTATGATGGTTGTGAAAGAACTTCACTTAAGTACAGCTGGTCTTCCTATACACATTAGACAAGAATTGTAAGGACTTTTATAATGATACTGTTAAATGATTATCTGTTTCCTTTTTAGACAAAATATTTAGATTCGTCTAGGTGATAGTCATTTGAGCTTCTCTCATTCGTATTGACTTTTCATTAAAATAATGTCTGTTGACAAGTTTGATTTGTATTAGTTAATAATTTAATATAATAGAAATTATTTTTACACGTGTTTCTAGCGATTCTATTGGTCGCTTAAGACTTTTAGCCACGCCCAACACAATGAAATGTAAAAATATGTAAACAAATCTCGCAAAAAGTCAATGGCTGCATTTAAAAGCAATGACGCTCCTTTTGCGGAGAGGCCCTCCACTTTCAGAGGCTATAAGTGGACCAACTGGGAGGACTGTGGGTTTTCAGACAGAGTCAATCACGCAATGAGCTCTGACAATGGATCTGCCTATGCTCTTGGTGGATTCAGCGGCAGAGGGAAGTCCATGAGAACCAACGAGTCCTGGAATGACCTTGGAGACGTACCATTAGATGTACAGAGGTTCGATACTGGTAAAAGAAACTTGAGATAATCTATAATGGGAGGGGCCAACAACTTTCATATTTTTGTGTGGGTGGACTTATTTTTAGAAATAATTACCTTAAGCCTACTATTTTTAGCATCTACTAAATTTAGCGATATTAGCGAGATAGCTTTAAATCGCTAAATTAAATAGACGCCAAAATAATTATTATTCATTACAATGGTTATTATTTATAGTTAATTTGGTTAAAAACGCTAAAATTAGTAATGCTAAACATGACTTTTGCTGATTTCGCTAAAATTAGTAGACGCAAATAATAGTAGGCTTAAGGTATTATGTTTCATTGTTCTGCTAAATACATTGTGTTGATTTGAACAGCTTTTTTTTCAATCGTGCACTATAAACAGTACTGAATATTGATGCCATTTTGCCATGTAGAATGTATACAGTAATTATATACAATTAGTTCTTTAAATGAGTTCTTTCTTTGTCTCAGATTCATCAACGTGGGACAGGATATATCCTCCTAAAGAAGTTGAAATACACATACCTTCTACTACTAACAGCAGAATAGACTGTCCTCCTGTGGACTACAGTGAATTCATATCAGGACGTTATGCTCATTCCTGCATATACTACAGGGGGAAACTCTACATGTATGGCGGCAGAAATGATTATAGGTTCTTCCTCAATGTCGACTGTTTTGATATCGGTGAGCCGCCATTGATAGAATTAGTTTCTATTCTTGAGTCTTTTTAGAATCAAGGAAGTGGTCTGTGTTAGAAACTTCGCAGGACAATGTGCCATTAGGTAAGTAATTTATCAAGAATGCTATCACAGCATTTTATGATGCATACTGATGTCCTTATGCTGTGTAGAAAATTTGAGTAGATTACGACTTCAATTTTTCAAGTTACAGGCATTTTAAGAAAATGCCAAAATTCTGAAAAATACCCAAAGCTATAGCCCATGGTTTTTTTCCAAAAAATGGCTCCGAAATCACCCCAAATTTTTATTACATTTTCTGATACATATTGATGCCCTTATGCTATGTAGAAAGTTTGAGCTGATTCTGGCAAGTATTTTTCATGTTATGGTCATTTTGTTTATCATGTATTAAACTTGGTATCAAATTATATAGGCAGATATGCTCATGGCTGCACACTGAGAGGTTCAATCATGTTTGTCCAGGTTTGTTGTACAGTGTATATTCATTATACCTATCACTTTCCCCCTCCCCTCTCTCTCTCATTGATTAGGGTGGTACAATGTTAGACGCATCATCACATCAGTCATTGAGATACACTGATGATCTTCTCTCCTGTAACCTAGAGACAGGACAGTGGCAGATTGAACCTGTCGAACCAATACTGAACGAAGAAAAGGAACCACTCCAAGTATTGAAAAGAGACTTTCATTCGGCCGTTTATACTAACGGAAGGATTGTAGTATTTGGAGGAAAATGTGAGCTAGTACATCTTGGGCCATTTTATGCTCTTTTGTGTCTTTGTTAGGCTATTTTCCAAATCAGGACGACGATGGATTTTATGAGTATCTGTTTGGTTAGTTTCATCCTAATAATCTCTATCTTAAATTTTATTTTTGTATAATAACAAGCTATTTGAGTATCTTTTTCTTTATTTTGTCTCAGGTACTCCTAGGTGGGCTAAGATTAATACAACTGGCTATCAGCCTCCTGGTAGGCGGAGCTTGCAAGGGATCGCGTACGGAGAGAAATCAATCATTTACTTTGGAGGATTTAGCACGAGAAAAAAGATATTTTATTCCGATCTGTTTATTCTCGACACTGGTTAGCTTCTAAAAAAAGAAATCAC